CTTGGCCGGGGAACCTACTAGCAAAATCTTGGCGCTGGAAATTGCTTGGTTGCCGAGTTGAAATACCCGGACAGACGAACACACACACACATACACACAGGGTCGTTGCAATATGCGTTTTTGCAATTTGCATATAGGCAAATACGTACAGTGAACTACCTGTTCAGAGAGTAATTTCTTCGCCAAAACTTTCGAGTGCTCGTACGTGAGAACCACGCGTCCCTGAAAACTGAGATTTGAATTTTTAAGTTGCATGTAGGCAGAGAACACTCCTTAAAAATTTCAGTTTTCCAGCTTTTCTGGTTCACAAATTGACAGTTTTTCCCCCAAAATTCTCACGTGCTTGTAAGCGGACTAACGTGCTATCGCAGTCTTGGGGTGGCATTTGGCTGGGGGACTGTCTGACAAAATTTCAGTGCCGAAGCTTGCTCGGCTGCCGAATTGAAATGCCCGGACAGACGCGCACCAGACACACACACACACACACGCACACACACACACACACACACACACACACACATACACACACACACTATGGGCCATCATAATATGCGACCTGCATTTGCATATATGCAAAAACGCACAAAGTGAAAATAGACGGCTTGCATTAATTATCGGTTCATGATATGCTAATTCCGAATAGATATACTTCCTGCGTTGTTGGTCGGGAGGACAGGAGTCAACCTTTCATATCACCGTTTGAAACATTTTTATTGAGTAGCCCGTCTCTTTATGTTGACCGGGCGGATGGGCTGGGCATACTTCACTGTTGTAGAGCAGTGCTTTACAAGAACTACTATTTCGTCGCCTTTTTTAGCGGAAGGGAGAAGGGACCGGAAAAAGCTGGCACCAGCTGATTACATTAGTTCTAGCATCACCGAAGTATTGCATCCTTGCCTTACTGTTTTTACGGGTTTTTTGCATCCATGCAGTGCAAAACGCATATTTTCAATGGATTTTCTGTGTGTGTTTGCTTGCTTGTTCGTCCGTGCCGATTTTTTATTTCGAGACCACAGTAGCTACAAGGCTGAAATTTTGGCAACTTACGGGTTCCTGCGCTTAAAATGGACGCTCATACCCATGTGATTCTCACCTCTCTTGAAATTTTTGGCGAGTAAGTTGCTAACTGGGGAACCAGAAAAGCTGGAAAACTGAATTTTTAAGGGGATATTTTTAGACAGACGTAGTGGCCAGTCTCTAATCTT